AGAATCCTAAATAAAGATTTCACTCTTCCTGTGTAAAAACCTGACATCTCATACAACTTCTTCTGTTGATTTGGAAGCAAGGACAGGCTTCCACTGTAGCGCGTTCATCACATAGTGGATTGTTAGGGGTAAAAAGGAAGGTCCATTATTTTTTATTGGAACTATTTTTCTTGAGGCTTTTTTCAGACCCTGGATTTCTTCTAAATCTATAAGTGAACCGATAATAAAAATCCACACTTTTTTTGGAAGTGGGAGTGGTACTGGGGTTTGAACTCAGGACCTCACACTTGCAAGGCAGGTTCTCTACCATTTGAGCCACTCTGCCAGCCCCAATTCCATCCTTCTTACATGCATATTTCTATGCATTGTACCCTACAGATCCTACCCAACCGGATGATCCTGGTATCTCTCCTCCACTGCTTTTAGGAAGGTACACCACAGAGGAACAAGAAGAGGTCATCCTTAGTTCTTAAATCTCAAAACCAGCTTCCGAAGCCCTCAGAGGGGGTGATAGGCTGAGGCAAAGTTGTTTTGTTTTCTGTATTGGTGTTCGAATTCAGAGCCCCTTCATTGCCCACCCCCACTACTTTTTACAGTACAAGGAGGATGGAGGAGAGTTGGCATGGCAAGTTCAGTTTCCTGTGCCTCTGTTTCCTCATCTGTAAAGTGGGAACAATAACATCTATCTCATGGTATATTGGGAGGATTAAGTGACGTGTATTCAACAGCTAAAATAGGACTCACACTTCTGATCCGAGGTCCACAGATTCTGCCAGCACTGGCTAGAAATCTTTGAAAAAAACTGTGTTGAATGTATGCAGGCTCTTTTGCTCTCAACAGTTCAGCATAACAACGATCTACATAGCATTTACATTGCATTAGCAAAGTTCCTTATAAGTAATCTGGAGATAATGTGAAGTATGTGAAAGAGACCAGGCATGGTGACTCATGTCTGTAACCCCAGCTACCGGAGGCGTAGGTTGGAGGATCATCGTCCAAAGCTGGCCCCAGACAAAATGTGTGAGACTGTATCTAAAAAATAACAAAAGCAGGGCTGGCGGAGTGGCTCAAGCCTTAAGAGTGCCTGCCTTGCAAGTGTGAGGCTCTTAGTTCAAACCCCAGTACTGCCGAAACAAACAAACAAACAAAAGCCCTAAAAAGTAACTAAAGCAAAAAAAAAAAAAAAAAAAAAAGGTGGGATGTGGCTGGGTACCAGTGGCTCACGCCTCTAATCCTCAAGAAACAGAGAGTAGGAGGATCAAGGTTCAAAGCCAGCCTGGTCAAATAGTTCGCAAGACCCTATCTCAAAAATATCTAACACAAGAAAAAGGCTGGCAGAATGGCTCAAGTGGTAGAGCGCCTGCCTAGCAAATGTGAGGCCCTGAATTCAAACCCCAGTACCGCTAAGAAATATTTAAAACATAAAGTACATAGGACGATGTCCATAGATTATATGGAAACACTTTGAGTAGCCTTGGGTTTGGCTGTCATTGGAGGGTCATGAGACAATCCCTCTTGAATACCAAGGGGTGACTGTGCTCAATAAACAGTCGGTGACCATCAGCATGGTGCATGGCATATCTGAGGCCGTGTCCCCAGTACAGAGAAAGACACCTCCCATGTCTCCCAGTCCCGGCGGAGGGTGCAGAAGGATGGCACATCTCTGCACATAGAACAAGATAACGACCCCACTGTGTCCCTGGACACCCACAGACCTCAGAACTGGGAGGCAACTGAGAACAAGGGAGAAAATGCCAGCAAGACTCGAAAAGCTTCACTGACTGGGATTTCCTTGAAAAGGCTAAAACTGAGATTCTCCATCAGCTGGTAAGAGAAGACTCTCTTACCAGTGTTTTGCACTCCTGAATGTGTTGGCTTTGAAACTTAGTGCCTGGGGTGGGGGTGGGGGGTGTCCACCTCCAGCCTGAAAGTCCTGCTGCTCCCCTCTCTTCTTTCTCCAGTGCTGGCATCTGCCTACTTTCTGGAAAAGGAAGGGTTAGAAACTGTCCCTTGATGGAGCTGGTTCTGGGATGGAAGAGAGTCGTCAGCCCTTTCCTGGGGCCTCTTGGCAGCCCCAAACCCTAGGACAAAGAATGTCAGGCCCAGCCAGAGCATCTGGGCGCTTTCATCTCAGGCTGGGCCCCCCTCACAGCCCCTCCTCATTTCCTTGGTCTCTTTCCCCTTTCCTCCCCTTTCCTGCCTGCCTTCTTTGGGGTCCTCCCTCAATTAATCACCTTGTGCCTGCAATGGATGGGCTCAAGCCCTGAGGCTCCAAGCAGCTTGGCCAGGCTCTGGCAGCTCTGTTCCAGGAAAGCCATGTGGTGTGGCTGGCCAGCTCCTTGCCCCTGCAGCCGCCCAGCACTGGGCCAGGCCAGCTCTGCCAGGATACCTGAGAGGAGGCCATTTCTGACATGACACAGAGACTGGGAGAATGCTGTTCTCTGGAGAGCCACCCTGTTCTTCCATTCATTCACAGATTCATTGAGCCGTCACTGAGTGTCCAAGGTGGCCACTGCTGAGCCAGCTTAGGCCTGTAAGTGAAGGCTGGGCTCAGTGCCTGGCAGACAGTCCCTTTGCCCTGCCTCACAAGGATTGGCCTCAGGGCATCTGCCACCCAGCAAAGAGCCTGGCACATAGAAGAGGCATTTCATGTTTTCTGAACTGAAATGAGCTACAAGAAAGGAGATTGCCACATGCTCCAGCAGAACCAGCACCAACCTGGAACCAGAGGGCAAATGGTTAAGTCCAGAGCCTTCCTCCTGTACCTTCAGAGAGGAATGTCCCTTTAGCCGCCACTGGGTAAATGGGAGCCTTCAGCAGGGAGGCTTAGGACAAGGTCTCTGGGGAGCCCCCAGGGCCTGTGAAACTTTGGGAAATGCTAACAAGTGGGTGCTGGGCTCTGGCAAGACTCTAACCACCAAGGAAAGCTGCTAGACAAGGAAGGGTTGACAACAGACACCAAGCACTGTTGGGTCCTCATTGCTTCAGCTGCTCCAATGACCTTTTGGATCCCATGACCCTGCCTTCACCCTTTTACCTTCTTCTCTTCTACTGCAAGGGTCAGTGGGCCTCTCCAAGGGGGCCTCTGCCCCAGAGTGGCTCCCACCAGCCTGTGGAGTGATCCTTGACTTGTGGCCAGTGGTTGGGAAGTTCACTCACAAAGGGAGCTGTTCTGGCCATGGGCTTGGAGAGCAAGTCACTTCAGGGTTAAGTGGATTAATCATTAAGGACCTCTGGTTGGATTGAGGCTCCCTTCCCTGAGTGACCAGCCCTCTTCTGGGGCTACAGAGAAGGGACAGCTGTAGGAGGATCCTCTAGGCTTGGTCACAGCCCTGGACTCAGGAATGCGGTTCATAAGCTCTCCCTAGGGTCCCTTCTCAGGCAATCGCACCCATTCACCCAGGTTTGGAAGGCTTCTCAACTTCCAGCAGCATAGTGGATCCCCAGCAAGTGCAAGTGTGTCTGCCATCCCTTCAGGCGAATCCGGCATTCATGTTTTCATAAAGACACACTGGAAAGAGACACAGGAAACCAGCAGGGCAGGAGGCTGGAGGCTGCAGGCGGATGGGAATGGGGTAGGAGGGAGAATGCTCAATGCAGATCATTGTGTATCTTTTTATACCCTTTAGATTTTGAACCATGTGACTGTATTGCCTATTCAGAGAAATAGAAATGTATATTTAAAAAGTCATGAACAGGGCAAATGCACACGCACACACACACAATGCATCCTCCCATGCTACAGTACTGAGCCAAACAATCCACCATTTTCTGGTGCTTGCATTATTGTAAGAGCTTCCTCCCAGCCTTCCTGCTCTCACTCCCCTTTTCCCATCTATTGTCTGTATTCCACATCCTAACCAGAACAATCTTGTTAAAAGGTCAGTCAGATTAGCCATTCCCACTGATTTCCCAGCACACTTAACAAAGTCAGCGCTGCTACTACCATGGAGGGCTCTACCCTGACCTTGCATACTCCTTCTAAGGCCCCAGCCTAGCCCAGGTGTCTGCACTGCTCAGACCTTACCTCCTTCAGGCTCAGCGAGCCTCACTCCCTCTGGTGGCAGCTCCCTCTCCCCCAGTCCAAACCAGAACCATGCCCTTGATTTCTTCTCACAGCACCCCTCTTTTGCTGCAGGACCCTCTCTTTGTTGGCGGAAGTGGCTCCAGCTCAAATATCTGCTGAATGAGCAAGCAGATGTGTGAAGATCCTACCATCCATTCCCTTGCCTATGGTGGTTTCAGAGCCCAAAGTCTCCAAGGATGGAGGGTAGCTTTCCAGCAGCTAGAAGGCAGGTCTGACAGACAGCTGCCTTGGAAGGATTAGGGCTGGCCTGGGCACCTTGGGTTTTGGGAGCCACAGCCCCAAAACACCAGCAGCAGCTGGCATTTATGGAGTGCTTACTGCGTGCACTCATAGGCACTGCTCTAGCCAGGTACCAGTGGCTCACACCTGTAATCCTAGCTACTCAGGAGGCAGAGCTCAGGAAGATCGCAGTTGGAAGCCAGCTTGGGCAAATAGTTTGAGAGACCTTATCTTGAAAAAAACCCATCACAAAAAAGGGTTGGTGGAGTGGCTCAAGGTGTAGTCCCTGAGTTCAATCCCCAGTACCCCCCCACAACAAAAGGCATCGCTCTAAGTGCTTTGCAAGGGGGACTCACTTCCTTCTCAAGTGTCCTTCAAATAACCCCAGGAGGCGGGTCCTCTTCTCCTGCTTACACAGGTGCCATGAGCTAAGTCACCCAAACTTACATGCTGTTGGGCAAGGCTGGCCTGGCTCCTGAGTTCTCAACCCCCACTCCCAGCACACACACACTTAAGTGAGGCCCAGCAGGGTAACAAGAGCAAGTGTCCTCAGAGACAGAAGCAAATTGGCTGCAGAAACAACACATGTTGCAGGCTCCAAAGTCTGCATTTATCTTTAAAGGGCTGAAGGGCTGTGGGGAATCAGGCTGGCCGCAGGACAAGGCAGGAGGAACCTTGAACTCTCAAGCCTCTGGAAGGTGTTTTATTTGTTTGCTTTTCTTTTTAACTTTTTTTTTTAGAACAATAATGGCACATTTAAAAAAAAATCAAGAACTACAAAAAAGGGTCCATATCTTCGAGTCCAAGTTCACATTGTCCTGTGGGGTGTCCAGGAACTGGCCGCACACTCCATCCTGGCTGGAGTCTGGCTCCTTGGAAAAGCACTGGAGCCTCCAGAAGCTGGCACGGTTTCCTCTTGGCTCCACTAGAGGGCAGCACTTGGCACAGTCCTGGGCTTCTGCTTCTACCAGGCTCCCAGGACCCTAGAAACCTCCTCCTCTCTCTCCCCAAAGCAGAACCAGGAGCTGGAGACATCAGGGAACTTATTTTGGTCCCCACAGGGGACTCTTTCAGGGACACATCCCTCCCCCGACCGGCAGGAGATGACACCCCAACTCAGCCCAGTTTCCCCTTGGGAGGATGGAGTGTGTCTCCCCAGTCCTGTCTCCACCCCAGCAGACCCCACAATGTTGCCTGTTCTCATGCACCAGCCACCAGGCTCCTTCTGCCACACCCTGTGGCCACTCCAGCAGGCACAGGAATGACAGCTGCTCAGTCCCCTGCAAGAGCTAAAAGGGCTCCCAGACCTTAGGCCCCTAGCTCTCAAAAAGAGGGGCTTGGTGAGAAGAGGGGAGAGAGCAAAGGGAAGGGTACAGAGCTGAGACAACAGGTGGGAAGAGAGAAGCAAGAGAGCTGCCCCAGGGGACAGGGCAGACTCCCCAGGTCTGCAAACAGCAAGGGGTTCTGGGTTGTGGGATCAAGTAGGCCTGGGCTGGGGGGGGGGGCGGTGAAGGGTGGGGGAGTAAGAGGCAGTGGCTCTCTTTTGCCCTCCCGTCCTATCTCTGGTTACCGTGGGGACATAGGTCCAGGTGACAAGACCTCAGCCCCCCTCCCCCCAGAAAGGGAAACATCACACAGCACTCAGCTGGTCTCAGCCCAGTTCTCACAGGAGAGTGGGACACCCCCCAGTCCAGGCCCCACCCAGCCCTGACTCCCAATAGCAACTCCCTAGGGCTCTCCTCCACAGGCCAACTGGACTAGCAGCTGGGTGGGAGGGTCTGGCTGTCCTGGGGCCTGGCCTCCCCAGCTCCAGCCTGACCATGCCCTTGGCTCTATTCTTGCTGCTCATTCATTTCCATGTCAGACACCAGGATGTTCTTCTCAGTGGCCTCGCCAGGACCGGAGCTGCTGCGGCTGTAGCGGGCACCCTCGAAGGCCCCTCGCTCAACGCTTTGTCGCCGCCGGTAGAGGATGAGGGCTGCAGTCAGCAGTGCCAGGAGCAGTACCACCGCCATCAGTACCACCACCAGGGCCGCTGGGTTCTCAGGGAGCGCTGCTGTGGGGAGAGGGGAGGGGGGCATCAGGCCATTAGACCTTAGCCCTGTCTTCAGGGGACAAGGGGAAGAGCCAGGTGTGTGGCCCTGTCCCAGGGCAGCCTTCCACTCACCTGATGGTGAGAAGCTGTTCTCTTCAGCAGCAGGAAGAGGGAGGAGACGGTTAATAACAGTCATCATAATTATTGTAATAATAAGTTAAGCAAACACCTGAAAGCGCTTCCAGAATGTCACTGTAAGAACTCTCTTCATCCTGCATGACTGCAAGATCATACTATTATTTACATATGAAAAAACTGAGGCGAGAGTTCAAGGAACTTGCTCCAGATTGCAGAGCTGATAAGTAATGTCACCAAGGCTTGAACACTGTCCGTGTCTTCAACCACTGTAGAGTAACAGGGGCTTGCTGACCCCTAGGGTTTTGCTGACTAGTTTTTAAGGTAAGTCCCAGGGCCAGTCCTTCCTACAGACTGTTCCCCAAGGGAAAGTCTCAAAGTCTTGGTCTGTGGTCTGTTCAAGCCCTCTCATCCACCGTGTCTCCTACAGACTAAGAAACAACCCCTGGTCCCAACCCAGGCGCAGTTGTGCAGAGGTGGAAGGGACCATAACACGGGCTGCCAGAACACTCACCTCGAGGGAGCTTGCAGACAACGCCCATGGTAACATTTGTGCAGGCACCCGGGCGCCACAGCCCACTGCTACTCTGGATCCAGTAACAGCTGTTGTGGCTTAACATGCTGGGCCCCAGCCCCGGGGGGCCCCAGTTGGAGTAGTTCACAGCTGTGTTGTCCTGCCAGACCAGCGTGCCTCCTGTGGAAAGAAGGCACTGAAGGGGCATGGGGATGAGGCCAAGATGGAGCAGGTGCCAAGATGGGGTGGGGGCAGGCAGGAAACAGTGAGTGTTCTAGAACTAACCCTCCCTTCTCCCTCCCCAAACCCAGTAAGGCAGGACTCAGGCAGAGGGAATTGGCATCTCTCCTACCTGGTCCTGGCTTCCCTGCCCGCCCACCAGGAGCACCCACCTTTGGGGTTGAAGTTCATGCCCAGCCAGGCGCCCCGACTCTGGCCCTCAGAACTCTGCAGGTGCTCCCAGATAAACACATTCTCCATTTCATCCAGAATGGACAGGACTGCCCCACCCGCTGGACACAAGGGAGGCCCATGTCAGGACAAGCAGGTCTCCCTGGGGTGACAGAGCCCCCAGAATGATCCTAGTCTTCCTCTCTAGCATCCTGACTACAGATGGTCTAGGAGCCAGGCATTTGTGTGTGTGTGTGTGTTGGGGAGATATACTGTACATATGTCACATATGATCTCTGGGTATTTAGAAAGTTGGAGGCTGAGGTAGGAAGATAAGAGAGCTCCAGGCCTGCCTGGGATACACAGTAAGACCCTGTTTCAAACACTGCAACAGGAGGACTTGGAGTAAGAGCTGCCTGTTGGTAGAGTATAGCAAGCATAGTATTCCTTCATGGGGTCTGAGCGTTCCAGGAGGTCACCCAAAGTGCCCATGTAAGCTGACTTGCCCCCCACCTACCTTTCTGGCAGCGCTGTAGCGCCTCCTTGTGGCCCAGTAGCAGCTCCATGTGGAAGGAGTAGCAATGTTCCCTGAAGGGAATCCACGCTGAGTCAGCCAGCCCCTGGGGACAGCTGCCATGGTAGCTTATCCTTCGGGGAGGAGGGGGCCCTGTGGGGGTGCAGGATTGAGAATGTGGCCCAGCATCCTCCCGGGACCATCTATTCCTTGCCCAGGCCTTGACCTCAGCTGGTGGCACTCACCTCTGGTAATCCCACACACAGCCCCCTGCAGCTTGGTGTCACAGCTGGTGGTACGCCAGGTGCCATCCACATCCACATAGGCACAGCCCCCTGACTGCTGGGGTTCCCCGTCCTGCCAGCTCACATAACTCAGTGGTTCCTCTGAGACCCAGGAGTACCGCCGGGAGCCCTGGGCAGGAGGGGACCATTGGGTGGGAAGAAGAAGGACAGTCAGTGAGGGGCAGTCAAGGCAGGGGGGGAGGAGGGGACAGGAAGGAAATCAAGGTGGTGGACAGGATGGGGTAAGGGCTCGAGTGTTAGGAGCCCACCTCCTCACTGGCCAGCCCGATCCAGAGTGATGTGCGCAGCCCTCGGGCAGCCTGAGTAAGGAAGGCCTGGGTGTAGGGGTCGGGGACATGGGCCAGGCTGGCATTGAGGCTCTCGCACAGCAGGAGGGCATCGTGCCAGCGCAGTGGTTTCTGCAGCAGTCGGAAAGTGCCGTTGAGGTAGGAGAGCTCAGTGCCCGGGGCAGGAGGCGACGATGCTGGGGATGGGCTCAGGGAGGGGTCTAGGGGAAGGAAGCAGGGTTCAGACTGGATTCTGCCTTCCTCACCCATTCTCAGGCATGAGGCTGAGGGGGATCAGGCAAAGACCAGGCCTCCACTGGGCATGGTGCTTGGTACAAATTAACCCTGGTAAGTGTTCACCGCTGTTCTTATTAATAAGACATGCTTGCTAACAAGCAGAGAAGGAACTTAGGGCCTTCTCCTAGCCCTAACCAAGGAGCCCAGGGCAGGGGGCACCATGCAGAGAGCTGGTGGTGCCTCAAACACAGAACCTTAGGGGCCCTGACACCAGGCATGCTGGCATGTCACAAAGCCCAGTGTCCAGTGCTCCCAGGTGACCCTCTCTGCCCCAGACCTTCCTCCTGAGACCCCTCCGTTCTACTGCCTCTTCCTCTCACTAGCACCTGCTTTTCTGCTCACCAGCTTCCTAAGTAGATACCTGACTCCCTGTCCTACAAACCCAAGGGCTGGAGATCAAGGACACTTTGTTCACTCCTCCTAGCACGGCCCATAGCTACTAGTGCAGTGCTGGAGTTTCCCAGTGCACTGGTGACACGTACCTGTGCCCTTCTGGCAGATGAAGCCATGAGTCTCCTCTGTGCAGCTCCGATCATCCCAGCGGCCAGTGAAGTGGGCTGAGGGGCTGTGCAGGACCACCGCACAGTTGGTCTGGGGGGAAGGAGCTACTCAGGGAAGTCCCAGTGACTGCCCCTCTCTCATGCCACTGGCCCCTCAAAGGACAGCAAAAAGGCAGGGAGAGGGGAGATGGGGTGGGTGGAGGGCTGCATGCAGAGGAAGACAGAAGGATGGGGTGGGGGAGATGGGGTGAAAAGACATCCTCACCGGTTTGTTGCCACTGGGAGCAGGGCTGGGACCAGAGGGCTCCCCTGGTGCCCAGTTGGCATATAGCAAAGGCTCCTGCTCCACCCACTGGAAGTCCCTCTGTGAGGCATGGAGGCCAATCCAAAGGTCAAAGGTCACATTGGGTAGGCTGGCTGTGATGAACGCTACAGACCCCCAGAAGAGAGCCAAGAGTGATGGGGTGGCCCCTGCTTGCTCTGCTTTAGACACTGGGAGGAGGGAAGAAGGGGGAGGGGGAACTGTGTTGGAGAACTGGGACCTCCCCATGGGCTGGCCTATGGCCTACCTTGCTCTAAGGGGTTTGCAATGGTAACCAGCTGGGCCTCTTGCTGTTCACAGGAGAAATGTGCCTCTGACCACTTTACCCGGTCCTGGGGGTCCTGGCCATGGATTCTGAAACACTGTGGAATGGGAGGGGTGGATTTAGGTCCAGCTCCACCTTCCTGTCCTACAAACCCAGAAACTCTGTGAGGCCACCTCAGCAGTAGGTCCTTCGAGGCTTTGGGGCTGAAAGAGCAATATCTGGGTCTCCCTGGACAAGACTCCCACCCCCTTGACCTGGCACACAGGATTCACACACAGGTACCCACACTTTTCGGGATTATTTATTTATTTATTCATTTTGCAGGACTGGGCTTTGAATCCAAGTCTTTGTGCTTGCAAAGGTAAGTGCTCTTCGGCTTGATCCTTGTCTTCAGTCCCGGGGCGGGGGGAGGTGGGTGGGTTTTTTTGGGGGTACTGGGGTTTGAATTCAGAGCCTCATGCTTGCTAGGCAGATTTCTTTGGGCCACCAAAAGATCTACCACCTATGACAACAGCACGGGGGTTGAGCCAAGCCTTGGGAAGCCTTGCTTTCTGCTAACTACCCCCTGAGTTCTGTCTGAAATCTGTTATCTTGTCCTTTGAGCTTCCAGAATCATCTCTGGGAACTTTTTTATTTTCTACGGTCTTTTTAGGCCGTGATTTTGCATTTTTTCCCACTTTCATTACTTCCACAAGGTTAAAGAGACCCAGTGTGGGAGATCTTTTTTATCAAGTGAAGACTGCTTCTTCTTAGAAAATGAATGATTTTCACTAATTTTCTGCTAAGAGGCAGTGATGGGGTTTAAAAAAAAAAGAGGTATAGAAGTTTTGGAGCCATAAAGACAGGGGTAGGAGGAGGCAGGAGTCAGGTTCCAGCTCTGACTTTCTGGCCTCAATTTACTTTTCTGTAAAGTGGGAATAAAAAAACCTTGTCTGTGGGAATCCTCTTCAAAATAACAATAGCAGTGTGTAACAGAGTATGTCCATTAAGTGGAGTGTTCTCACTATTAATGATTAGCTTAAATTTGAGATAGAAAACCGTAAACCCAGAAATAATGCAAGAGTTTCTGGGAGGTTTGTCACCAAGTTCATGGATTTTATTTCATATAAGTAGTTCAGAGCCATGCTGAGTCCCCACTTAAGCATCTCATGCAATTAGTCATGGACGCTTAGAAGCGGCAAAGTCACACCAGTACTGACAAGAAGTAATAGCTAAAGGCAAGAGTATTCAGTTCAGTCTGGATAGTACTCATCCCACCCATGTACAAGTATGTTAAGCAGTACATTAGGCCTGGAACCAGCAGCCCTGACCTCTAGATGCTAAAATCTAGTGGGAGAGGCAGGTCCATAAATACTTTATCTATATCCAGATGCTGTGGGGGATGCAAAGGAGGCACAAAACTAGTAAAGCAAGGTGCTGTGGCCAGGTAGTGATGGACCCAACAGCCTCGTAGACTTCAAAAGTTTCTCACTAAAACCTTGTAACTGAAAAAAAAAATTTACAAATATTGAACCAGGTGCGGGTGGCTCACACCTGTAATCCTAGCTACTCAGGAGGAAGAGATCAGGAGGATCATGGTTTGAAGCCAGCCAGGCAGATACTTTGCAAGATCCTACCTCAAAAAAAAAAAAAAAAATCACAAAAAGGGTTGGAGTGAGTGGCTCAAGGTCTAGGCCCTGAGTTCAAACTCCAGTACCATACACACACACACACACACACACACACACACACACACACACAAAAGCTTCTTACTAAGCAGGAGAGTAACTGGTTTCATTACAATGGTGCTGATGGAAAAAGAGAACAGTTAGCCAGGCATGGTAGTACACACCTGTAATCCCACCATTGTGGAGGGTGAGGTAGTAGGATCTCAAGTTCAAGGCCAGATTTAAGTAAATAGTGAGTTCAAGGTCAGTCTGGGCTACATAGCAGGCCTCAAAAATAAATAAATAAACAAACAAATATATAAATAAACATTTAAAATGTTTTCCAAAGACTTTTTTGCCCTCTTGATCAGGTCTTCTGATTTGTTTTTGAGACAAATTGGGAAAACAGAAATTTACTAGCCAATTTTTAAACAAAAACCTTTATTTAATTGGTAGAGGGACTAAAAATGGGAAGAATTTCTTAGAAAGTCCAGCCAATGATAGGCAAATTTTTTACTTTTTTGGGGGGTGGGGCAGTGATACTGGGGTTTGAACTCAGGGTCTACACTTTGAGCCACTCCACCAACCCTTTCTTGTGATGGGTTTTTTTGAGAGAGGGTCTCTCAAACTATTTGCATGGGCTGGCTTCGAACTGTGATTCACTTGGTCACAGGCCTGAGCCACCAGCACCTGGATAATGAGGAGACAAACTTTATAACACAAAGTTTTTGGAGGTTTTTTGCTTGTTTGTTTTATTTTGGTGGCACTGGGATTTGAACTAAGGGCTTCATGCTTGAAAAGCAGGCACTCTACTACTTGAGCCATGCCTCCAATCCAACGTTTTATTTTGGTCTGTTGGTTTTTGTGTGACACCTTTTTAAACTACAACCATTACATCCATGATTTGAAAAAATTTGAACTTCCAACAAGAACAGTAAGTCACAAATCACAAAGTGTCAGACCAAGATTTTTTTTTAAATAGTGAAATAACAGAAAGATAAGATGATCTGATTCACACTGGAATATGAAAAAGTTAATCTCACAGAAGTTGAAAATAAAACAGTGTCTGCCAGAGGCTGGGGAAAGTACACTGGGAGGGAGGGTGGGGAAAGGTTGATGGATTGGTACTATTACAGTTAGTTAGGAGCTATTATAGATAACAATAATATACTGTATAGTTCAAAAAGCTAGAAGAAGGGAGTTTGAACACTTTCACCATAAAGAAATGATAAATGTTTAATGTTTAAGGTAAAAGATATATTTACCCTGATATTGATTTAAACCTTACACAATGTATACGTGTATCAAAACATTACATAGTATCACATAAATGTGTAATGTTTATATTAATCTATTTTAAAATAAAATTAAATTAAAAAATAAATGGATTGCAGAGAAAAATCTGAAGTATATGTAATCACATAGCCTTATTTAAAATTATTTAAAAATTCATAATTATTATAATTATGAGTAAGCCCATTTTCATATAATAAAGAATTTTTTATTTAAAAATATCATTTTTCATCTTCTACTTTGCTTTAAATTGTTTTATTCTTATGCATATTTTACTATATATTTATATATTTTTGTCTTTTTTGGTGGTACTGGGATTTGAACTCAGGTCTTTGCACTTACTAGACAGGCACTCTACCACTTGAACTACTCGTAGAGCCCTAATATTTAAATAGTTTTTATTTACATACATAAATAATATGTATCCTCACATAGTTTGGATATTTATGATCAATGTTTTGTTTTACTAATAAGATCTGATTATCAAACAGTTTGGCAACCACTGATCTAAAAAACTTGCCTAGGTATTAGGACCTTGTTGCTTAGAGGATTAGAAGGTGTTAACTACATTGAGTCATTTTCCAAATAATTTAGCCCTGGCCTTGGGGCCAAGTAAAAGAGAGGTTGGTGGGTAAAGTCCAGAGGCCATAACTCTGATGTGGCCAAACAGCCAGGACTCCTGAGGTTCAGTCCTCCCATGTTCACATCCTCCCCCATTGGCTCCCCTGGGGGTCCCCTCCCCACCTCCTACCTTGTTGAGGAACTGGTTCCAGCCAGAGGGGCAGCCCCCCAGGGCTGGAAGTGGCAGGTCTGGGGGCTGCGTCTCCCCACTGCTGTTAGTACGCTTGCAGATGTAGGGCAAGGCTGTCAGGCACCTCTGGTCCCCCCAGTCCTCTGTGAAAGGGGAGGGGAGGGTGGTCACCCAAGGACAGGGCAGGGCAGGGCTGGCAGCACTCTCGGCCTCATGCTCACTTTCAGGCTGTGTCCAGCTCTGAACTCAAGTTCTCTAGCTTGCCATGGGGGCAAGCCCAACCTTGTCTGGGTCCAGTTCTTCTTGAATTTGGGAACAAAGAGAATGAGAGCAGCCAAGCTCACGCCTGAAATCCAGCTACTCAGGAGGTGATGGTAAGGAGGACATGGTCGAAAGCCAGCCCACTAGAAAAAGAAGTGTTAGCCCTGACGCTTCCATCACCCTCAATATTCGGGCATTTAAGTACACAAGGGCCAATGTGAAAGGCGATGGTAAGAGCCTGTCGAATCCCCAGCCGCAATTGTGGGGCCTGGAGTTGTAGGGAGGAAATTATGGTTCTGAGGCCACCCACGCAAGATAAAGGCATACACAGAGATGCGCACTAACGGGTAATAAACTACATTGGGGGCATTCGCACTAGCCTAACCTACCATGACCAAGGCCTATGCGGAAGCTCTTCAAACCCAGTATAGCCACAAAAGACCACACAAACAACAAAGAGAATAATGAGAGGAAGAGATGTTAGAGAGCTGTATACACCCAACACCCCACATAGACGCGCGCTACATGTGACAGTGCATTGCATCTTCTGGTAGAGCGCGGAGCCCTGTACCTCACGCTACGACTGGCAGTCAATTGTCTACGCACGTTCTGCTCGGCCGTGTGCCGGGACTGGTCCTGAGGCTTGCGCCAGCTCACCACGGAGCATGCAAATATTTAGAATACATGGAACCCACTCTGCCCTCTGGATAAGGCAACAGTAACAGAGGAAGACTCAGCAATGAGGCCCCCTATACTCGCAGCAGAGGGCCTCAATGACAGAGCTGAGGAGACAGTAGTGGCTAAACGACTGAAAGAGCTGGTGCCACCACCGAGGCTAGCCAGACACCCAGGTGACGCGAGCGACCCTGCCTCTCCAGGGCATCCTAGCCCTAACCAGCACTTACTTCTCTAAGATGTCCTGAAGAGAGCTTGTACGAACCAGGAGGATTCTACAAGCCCCTGAAGACGAGCAAGGTGGCACCTCCGAGGACTGAAACTGAGTTCCCTATGGGGCCCAACATGCTTCGCGCTGGTACTGAGGAGCCATAGTGCGAGCTCATCTATACGGTGAGTTCACACCATGCGACACGAAGGAAGTGCGGTGCTATAATTTGTGGTGGCAAGACATGTGGACGGCGCGCGAAAGAGGGCGAGCCGGCAGCGCTCGACCTGCTAGCACTTTCTGTCCTTCTCTCTCGGTCTGCATCTCCACCCACCTCCATCCCTCTCTCCTTTCACATAGCGCCACCGGTACTCGGCGCGTACCCCAAGCTACCGAGCGAGCAAGGTAGACAGCATGGGCACTCACACAATACTGAGGGCCAAAGACCCGAGGCACGTCACGTAGAGACAATTGCACATAGCATATCGCACGAGTCCCCTCTACGACATGCACCTTGCCCTCGCAAGACCCTATCGGGAGCGGCTCCTCCACCTGCTAGCGTCTCTGAGAGACCACATGTAAGCTCTGTCCCAATCTCAAGACAAAGGTAGGCACAGGCGTCTCGCTGAGTCGAATCGCCTTAGCCCGAGCGGGCCAGCACGACCACATCTGGCGCCGATGAAGAGATGCTGAACAGGCGAGAGCTCAAAAGTCTGCACAAGACCTCGAGACCAGCCAGTGGCTGCTTCCGTGCGCCACATCAGAGCCTGAGGTAAGGCACACCTGCGGAAAAGAGCTGGTAGCGCCAGGAATGATGGTTAGGCACCTTCTACCGATCACTCTCAGCTCTTTAGCCTGCTCCTGGACCCTCCACGAAGCGTCAGGGCTCAGACCTCCTGAATGTTCACTTTGAAAAATGATCAATTGCTAAGCTCGCTACAACACCTTCAATCTTTCCTGCAGCAAGCAATTTCAGAGAACCCTACGGACTATCCAAAGCTATTCCTCTTTGAAGCGGCAGCAGCTAGAGTTTGTGATCAAAGCTCAGGCCGGGGATACGCATCTCAAATCCTGCGTCTGTGTGCGCCATATCGAGAGCAAGTGGGATGCATCGAAAAAGTACAGTATAACAGCAGCTCATGCGAAAGACGACCCACATCCTCGGCCACGGCCACCCCATGAATAGTCGGAGAACCTAGACGTGCATGGGGTGAGGAACAACATAACAGCCAGTGTCGAGCAAGCTGCCCACATAAGTCGCTCAAGAGAGACCGAATGAGAAAGAGATGTTAAATGAGGGTAGAGCGAGTAGCT